AAAAAAAAAACAAAAAATAGAGTAATGCAGTTGGATTTTAGCTTATATTATTTGAATTGTACATACAAAATAACTATATGGAAAAATTCTAATGTGTGTGTGCGTTATTTGCATTATTTTTGCGGTGCTTTTTATCGTCCCGCGAGTTGCGAGACATGTCTTATATTTCCTATAACGAAATAATAGTTTGGATTTGAAGTTTTCACCTAGGAAGCACGGAAGCTTCGTCCGAGGTCCGCTCCCCGCTTCAGAATCTTAGTCGGAATCGGAAGCTTTCAGAATCCCGCTTTCGAGAAACGTCAGTTTGATGATGTTTTATCGGTAAAACAAAATTTAAAACAATTTTATTTGATGAAATTAGTAAAAGGAGAATGAAGATAATGATCTTAAATTTATGACTTTGAACTATTTGACTTTTCTTTATTGTAAACATACACTATTTGATTTTTAAATATAGTTCAGGTATTTAAAATTTATGTATTAGATTTGTGTGTTAATTATATAATTTTTATATGAGATAATGTTTAATTTTTATTATATATGTATGTGTGTATATATAGATATATAAAATATTAATATTAATTTTTATATACGCTTCCAACACGTACCCACTTTCTATAATCATATATTTAAAAGTTGGCCAACTCTCTCCATATGAGTGCCACATCATCACATAAGAAAATGACATGTGTCCGTCTACATTATTTAAATAAAAAATGAACCAAATTAAATGAGAAAAAAAAAATAGTTCTTCACATTAAATCATCCATCAATCCTATTCTTAACTTATTTCTTTAAAATAAAAAAAAATTAGAAAATTGTATTACTAAATCAAGCACTACTTTCATTGTTCTCATCTTATTTTACAATTTTTTTTTTATCAAGAGTCGCTATTCGATAATAACTGAAAATTTATTTGTGTTGTAATTTAGTAGTTTGCTACCTAACTTTTTATTAGTTTAGTAATTTTACCTTGAGTGTGTTCTCGTTGTTACGTTTTGTGGTTCATATACGACTTTTCATATGACCAAAATGGGTCTTTTCATTTTTGTGCTTTATTATAATTTAGTTACATTTACATGCAAGTTTTTTAAGAATGGGTCTTTGAGACGTTAGGTATACCAAAAAATTCAAGACACGACAATTTCTCTCTTATATAGCTATATGCAATGGGAAAAAAAAAAGCTATATGCAATGGCAGAAGATGTAAAAAGTGTTGACTTAAAATGAGAATGTAGTTTTCGTCTTTTTTCTTCTTTTTATATGAAAATTATTGAGATCTTGTTCAACTTATATCAATCCAGTAATTAATTATGAGTCTATCACGATATGGCTGGAGTAGTAGATCATGAGAGTACATAAAACAAAGAATTGCTTAATTATGATCAAGTCACGCAAGTTTCAAATCATACTAGTAACATAATTACATATAATTATATCAAATATCTTATATTGTTGTTGTATTTATTCATAATAGTGAAAAAAGTATCTTAGATATATAAATAATCTTAGAGAAATTGTTAAAAATGCTCCTTTTTCAATACCCCTTTACAAAAATGCCTCTTTTGAGAGTCCATTTTTAAGTTTGCCCTCTTTTAATTTTTAATGACCATTTTACCCTTATTTGAAACAAAATTAGGTCCACAAAATACAAAATATTTTTTGGCGGGAAAAGTGATCCCGCAATTTTCTCGCCAAAACACTTGTAAAAACCTTTAAAATACATTATAAAATTTTCCCGTAAAAATTTTTCCCGCCAAAAAATTTTCCCGCCAAAAATTTTTTTTTGCGGGAAAAGTGATTCCGCAATTTTTTTGCCGAAATTTTTTTGGCGGGAAAAATTTACAAGGTATTTTAAAGGTTTTACGGAGTATTTACAAGTGTTTTGTAAGGTTTTACAATGTATTTTAAAAGGTTTTACAAGGTACTTATAAGGTTTTATAAGGTATTTATAACTTGTAAAACCTTATAAAAAACTTGTAAAACCTTATAACTTGTAAAACCTTATAAAATAGCTTGTAAAATCTTATAATATCTTATAAATACTTTATAAATACGCTGTAAAACCTTTTAAAATACATTGTAAAACCTTATAAATACCCTGTAAAAACCCTTTAAAATACCTTGTAAATTTTTCCCGCCAAAAATTTAACGCCAAAAAATTTGCGGAATCACTTTTCCCGCAAAAAAAATTTTTTGGCGGGAAAATTTTTTGGCGGGAAAAAATTTTACGGGAAAATTTTACAAGGTATTTTAAAGGTTTTACAAATTTTTACAAGTATTTTGGCGGGAAAAATTGGGGGATCACTTTTCCCGCCAAAAAATATTTTGTATTTTGTGGACCTAATTTTGTTATATTTCCTTATATATTTATGATATCTTTTATTAAAAGAAGGGTAATTTAGTCATTTTGTACATAAAAGGGGTATTTTTAAAAATGGACATCCCAAGGGGGCATTTTTGAAAAGGGGTATTGAAAAAGGAGCATTTTTGTGAGTCTCTCATAATCTTATTTATACATGAAAATGTATAAATTGATATTTTAAGTCAAAAATGAATTTAAACATAAAAATTGTAACTACATAAGATGGATCTGAATTTTATTAACTATACAATAACAGAAAAAAACATAAATTAGTAACAAAACAATCAACATCAGTTTTTCTTAACAATTTTCAAAACAAACCCACGCGTAGCGTGGATATTCATCTAGTTTCTATAAAACTTGTTTCCACGTTTCTAAACGCTTCGCTTCCGCGTAGCCGCTTCTGATTCCATGCAACCTAGGTTTTCACATATGCTTTAGATATGTTTTATGACACGAAAAGTCTAATCCTCTTTAGGGTACATTCAAAGTTCTCTCGAAAAATATAACCGTAATATTTCTATATTATAATAATTATGTGCAAATCGTCTCTTGGAAATTCTTAATTAAGAATTATATTTCTATATTATATAATTGTGTTTGAAATTTTCCATTTGAATTTCTTTTTACATAGTCTCGAAAAATATATGCACATAAAAAACAAAAAAAGTAACCTTTCATAAATTCTAATGAGATGAGATGTAATTATTTATTAAATTAAATATCAAAAGAGTTAGTAAATACGAATAGATCTGGGGTATTTTGTAAATAACAAAAGATATGAAGAATTATTTTCTGTAAATACGGTTTGATAATAATTAAACATAATTCAAATAGAAAAAAAAATTAAAAAATTAACAACTGTTTCAATATATTTTCAGTTTCAATAGATTTAAGATTTAAAAGACAGTTAATTGAAAATACATTTATTTTGATAATAAAGTAAATTGTTAAAAGTTGTTCAAACAATCAAACAGAGTTTTCTCATACTTTAATAAAAACTAATAATCTACATTCCAAACTGTTAATAATGATTACAGTTCAGTATCCTCAAAACTGCCCCAATTATCAAATCTGTTAGTATTTTCAACTGATTTGCTAAACTGCAACACATCTAGTTATATCATTGCCCCAAGGATTTTTTTGTATTTACGAAACTTCCACATATCATTTTGTATTTACGAAATTGCCTCACAATTTTGGTATTCACAAAAATACCCATATCTTTTGCAAATTACAAAATTTCCCCACACCTTTTGCTAATTACGAAGTTGCCCCTCATCTTTTCCTAATTACGAAGTTTCCTCACATCTTTTGCTAATTACGAAATTGCCCCACATCTTTTTATATTTACGAAATTGTCCCACATCTTTCGTAAATTACGCAATTGCCCCATACCATTTGCTATTTACGAAGTTACCCCACATTTTTCTAATTACGAAGTTGCACCACATCTTTTGCTAATTACGAAATTGCCCCACATCTTGTGCTAATTACGAAATTGCCCCACATCTTTTGATATTTACGAAATTGCCCCACACCTTTTGCTAATTACGAAATTGCCCCACATCTTTTGATATTTTCGAAATTGCCACATATCTTTCATAAATTACGAAATTGCCCCACACCTTTTGCTAATTACGATTTGCCCCACATCTTTTCCTAATTACGAAATTACCCCACAGCTTTTGCTAATTACGAAATTGCCCCACATCTTTTGATATTTACGAAATTGCCCCATATCTTTCATAAATTACGAAATTGCCCCTATCTTTCGTAAATTACGAATTGCCCCACATCTTTTGCTAATTACGAAGTTGTCTCATATCTTTCGTAAACTACAAAATTGCCCCACATCTGTTCCTAATTACGAAGTTGCCCCACATATCTTGATATTTACGAAATTGCCCCATATCTTTCGTAAATTACGAAATTGCCCCACATCTTTTCCTAATTACGAAGTTGCCCCACATCTTTGGATATTTACGAAATTGCCCTATATCTTTTGTAAATGACGAAATTGCCCCATATCTTTTGCGATTTACGAAGTTGCATCTTTGCTAATTACGAAATTGCCTCACATCTTTTGATATTTTCGAAATTGCCCCATATCTTTCATAAATTTACGAGATTGCCCCCACACCTTTTTCTAATTACGAATTTGCCCCACATCTTTTCGTAATTATGAAGTTGCCCCAATGCTTTTCCTAATTACGAAGTTGCCCCACATCTTTTGATATTTACGAAATTGCCCCATATCTTTCAATATTTACGAAATTGCCCCATATCTTTTGATATTTACGAAATTGCCCCATATCTTTTGATATTTACGAAGTTGCCCCACATCTTTTGATATTTACGAAGTTGCCCCACATCTTTTGATATTTACGAAATTGCCCCATATCTTTCGGAAATTACGAATTGCCCCACACCTTTTGCTAATTACGAGTTACCCCACATCTTTTACTAATTACGGAATTGCCCCACATCTTTTGATATCGAAATTGCAGATCTTATGATATTTACGAAATTTCGCCAGAGCTTTTGTTAAATACGTTCTCTGCATCTTTTTGTACTGGTCTAGACACGTGCAAGCGTTTCTTTTTAGCATTTGAAAGAGTTCTTCCTGGCTTTCTTTTTCTTCCTGAACCAACCAAATTATATTAGATCAAATAGAAAATATCATTTTTATCAAGTAGCTCTAGAATTTCTAAAGCCAATTCAATTTAGTCAAGATTTGTAGAGAGTAGAGAAAGCGATTCATGAGTACAAGAGTAAGATCAAAGTTGCTAGTTGTCATCATTATAAGCGTTTTTCAATGCAAGCAAGCTTATAAGAAGCTTCTGCCCGAGCTTCCTCCAACTTTGCTGAGAGCTCTTTCATGAAAGGTGTGCTTGTCCCGTGGCTGATCCGCAGAATGTCAAATGCCTTAATTAGTGAACTCACCGCCTCTTTGGTTTCCCCCAGTAACCTGCAACATAACAATTATGCATTTTTATCCGCAGAGGCGCAGAATATGATGGTAACCGACGCCAAGTTATTGCACTCAGACTCAGATTAACGTAGAAAGTTTATATGAATGATAATTTTCTACAGGCACACGATGAATCAATGTTTCTTTCCACAGGGATTCTAACTCAGGGATATCCAATTTGAAGGCTTTGAGCCAAGTTCCGCCTACCACTACTAGCCAATCTCTACGTGTTCCCTGACTGAAAAAGTCACGTAGAATAAGAGTCTCTAACACTGAGAACATGTAGAGGAATGGCAGCTTTGATAGTTGAGGGAAAACAAAAGTTATATTTGGTCCTAACGATTTTGACAGGAGAATTAAATAGATTGTTATAGAGCATAAATCTGTCTTCAAATTCTATTTCAGTTTCCGCAGCTCAAAATCTAATCAAAATATTAACTAAGGATGCTTTGATACCATTCGAGTTTTCCCTGGGTATAGAACTGCAGTCCAATCAAAGGATGGGTTGCTGGATATACTCCTGCAATTTTATTGACAAAGTAAGCACAAGTTATAACCACTAAAAGAATTTGAATGATTTTACAATTATTATATAGATGTTTCTGTTCAAGGTGTAATTAGCAATTAGCAGCCATTAGTTCTAGTAAACAGTTAGCTCTGATACTGTACGCAATAAGTTCCTATGGTAATTATAAGTAAATGTACCTATACAAAACAAGTAAGAGCTTCCAAGTTATGTTCAAAATATAAATCCCACACCTGGCTAGATCTATATACTAGAAGTCTGGTCATTGATAAAAGGTATCCTAAAGAAAAGAAAAATATTGATCAAACATGCGTCAAGGAGCAATGTAATAATCAAGATGAAGTAGACATACTTTGGTAAACAGGGACTATGAGTCTGCAGTAATTCAAAGCTTCTCTCCAGATTTCTAAGTCCATTAGCATCTGCAAAGGAATGTGTAACGGCAAGCTTTGAGAAACCACATTTGTCTCGTCTTTTCAAACCTCAGTACAACTTCCAAAAGTCCAAAACCTTCTTTCCAAAAGAAACGTACCTTGAGAAGTTTTTCACGGGTTCTCATTAAAGTGATGGAGAAAGAATGGTAAAGCTTAACTTGTAGTTTCTCAATTGTCTTATATAGTTCAATAGCGGCTTGTTTATCTGAAAATGGTCAAAAGATTCTCTCAGACAACTTGTAACACAGCTAAATGTAACCAAGATCAGTTAATCTTGTTCAGACATATAAACGCAGGTATTGGGGAAGCAAAACAGGCAAGAATTACTTTCTGCGGAAGGAGATGCATGAGCCTTCTCTGAAACTGTCTTGAGATCACTTGCTAACTTTTTAACCTCTTCCTTGCTCCTAAGAAGCAAGCATTTCTGGCAAACAAAGCCTTTTTCTTCTGCAAAAGTAAACAAATGAGGATTGGAGGGATCAAAAAATTTCTTGGAGACAAACTACGTAGTTAAATCTTAACATACCAGGATCACGGAGTAAGAAACCAGTGCATTTCTCATTGGAACACCGATAGCCTTCCAATATTGCACTTTCTTCAATATCATGAGGTTTTCCCTTAGATATGAAAAATGTTGGTACAGGTTGTAAGAAATCTAGAATATTGAGTGGTCAAGTGCAAACTCCATTCGTTGATAAGTGGGGGGGAGAATCATTACTACTTACAACGTTACTGCAACGGGCACACTGACAATGGAAGAGGTATTGTTCTTTCAGAGACTTCTGCCGAGTCAGAGTGCTTCCCGCGGTTTCAATATAGCTGATAGTTATCTGACCAAAGACAAAGGATCTAACAGCTATATGTCAGTGTGCTACTAGCATATACAAAAGACTCGAGATGAAACAAAGCAGAAACTACCTCTGAATCCTTTGATATGTTATCCATCGCCCGAACAACAGCCATCTGCTCCTCAAACACTAAAACCGCATTGGGAGAGCAGCTACAAAGCAAAAGATTTAGGCAGGAAGCAAAGTGATTAAAGAACACAAAGAAAAAGCATTTACCTGTGATTAATGATGGAAACCAATGGAAACAATCCTATCCCTTGAGGTCTCAATTCGCTGTCACAAATGCTATGAGCATTGCATGAGAACTGTGTTCAGTAGAAATGAAAGTGGCTTAAGTAATTATCCCCAAAAACCATTCCAAATAAAGACGAGTACAAAAAATTATCCCAGTTAGCCCAATGGATACTTGATACTCCTCAAATTAAACGAGGCCACATCACCAACCTATCTATATAATAATAGTAAATCAAAAAAATTTCCTAATACAAAAAAAGGAAAACTATCAACTGCAGCTTGCAGGAAGACAGCTCAGTTTGTGTCAAGCTCACACTAGAAGAACAGAAAAAAAAAAAAAAAGCGCAGGTGTAGAACCTTTGAGAAGTTCTCGGCGATCTCTCTTAGGTCAACACTAGGAAATTGAAGAATCAAGTTCACAAGATTAGCCATCTGTGCATACAACAACATCTGCTTTTCATCAATCTCAGACATGTCTACCAAATGAAGGTTAAAGAAGACAAAAGAATACACATTTCTAGGGGTAATGAGAGATCATCAATTTCACAAAACTATAAAACCCAAATAGGAAGGATACGGGACACCAAAGCCTCCACCAAACTATAATTGTCTGTTGACGTAATTGGCAGGACCTGGACAAGATAAATACATTAAAAATTAAGGAAACATAGACTTCTATCAAAATGAAACAAAGCACCAATGAATCAGCCAAAACAAGGATATAATCTAGACTTCTTCTCCACATCTCAACACAAAGAACCAAAGCACCAAACAAACGATAAGCTATCAAACGTGAATGCAAGCAACATCACTCATAGCTGATGATAACCTTTTCATTTTGCAAATTCCTCTTGATGTAAAGTTTAACCATCAGACGTATTGTAGGAGTAACAAACTTCCGTTTCTCCTTCTCAAGCCTAGTAAGAGCTTTGCATTCATGTCGATGTAACTTCCACTCTGACTTCTGAAAAATAATCAAAAACAAACAACAAATCTTAATCAACCATCAATTGAATTTCTACAGAGAGGACTCATATCAATTATACCTGGCAAAAACTCCCACAGTACCAAACCACTTGACAACCAGAACATTTCTTAAGGTTATTGGTCTTGAAACATCCGTCACACCTTGATTCCAATGATGTATTATTCGGAACACAAATATATGGCTTTTGGCTTAGAATCACTTCTCCTGGAAGAAACACATGACTGAGATTAGTCTCAGACGAACAAAAGCACTGTTCCAACGAAACCCTAAACCGGCACAAGAGAGACGAACCTGGACGAATATCTCTGGTAGTGAATAGAGAGCGGCCTTTGTGTGGGAGATTCGAAACGCTTAAGCAGCGATCTTGTAGAAATCTCTGCAAATCCGCCATTAGTGAAGCTTCCATTGGAACTTACGAGGGGTTTCGAGAACAACGGTCACTTTGAATTTGAGTCTTAATCAATTCTGAGATTTACAACAAATTAGGGTTTTTTTTCTTTCTTTTCCGGAGATTTGATTAGTTGCATTTAGATCCCTTTTCTAATTTATGGAGTTTTCCACAATTTGACGGAAATTTGATTAGTTGCATTTAGATCCATTTTTTTATTTATACACTACTTACACTTCGATCCCCTTTTTCTTATTTATACAACAATTTGACGGAAGTTTGATTAGTTACATTTAGATCCCTTTTCTAATTTCCATTTCTATTTTCAGTCATCATTTTAAATTTTGCAGAAGCTTATGTATGGTTAACAATTGAAAAATCATTGAAACTTTAAAAGCTCTTTGTCCTCTTCATCGTTGGAAGTTAAAAAAAAAACGCATAATATTAACGTTCGAATGGTTCAAAACTACATGTATATAACACAGAAATTAAAAATACATAAAAAGGTTACATATTTACAACCCTAATGAGTAATGTTAGCTTCCATTAAATTAAAACCACTGAAACTCAAATTGTAAAGTAACTATTTTGAAGTTAGAACCAAGGATGCCATGTTGGATCCATCATACATAAGTTGCGAGGCGACAAGGCTGCCTCTACTAACTCGTTCACTCCTCTTTGCACCGACTGTGGCGGCTCCACCGTATTCTCATCCTACAAAAACAAATCCATCAATATGTTTGATCTTATAGGATGATGATGATGATGATGATGATGATGATGATGTATGTACCTCTTCGGAAAAGTACTGTGGGGCTATTCCTCTGATCCGGCCAATGACATCTTCCACATTGGCGTTAACTTTGTGCTTCAGCTCAGCTGAGTTCAATGTAGCAATTCCTCCAACAGGAGGAATCGGCACACCAAGAGGTCTTCTTCCAAACCAAGACAGCAATTCATCACGGAAGAACATAGCAAGTTGATACCGTAGATGTTCGTTTTGCTGAAAATTTTGCAAGACAATAGAGAAACATAGATCAATCAATGGCTTGTTGCATCCCTTAGTTATTAGGTATATATTTTTTGAATTATCCCTTTACCTTGGAGGAGATTACTGCTTGAGCTGCTGAACACATGGATGACATGAGGAGACCTTCGACTCCAAACTGAGAGAAGAATGCTTGCATGTTCCTTGTGAGGCGGAAAGGCACGGGTTCGTTGAATTCGATCATCCCATTGGCATCGTAAGCAGGGTGAAAATCTGTCTGGAACATTTTCCCAGTGTTTTTTGCAAACAAGACCTTGTTTGGGGATCTCCCACCGATTTGTAGCATGAAGGACATAAAACTGGAGACAGCTAGCTGGACTGCAAATTGTTTCTTGAAAGCCCACATATGGCTTCCGCTCATCAACGTCTTGTACATGTACTGAGAGAAGATACTGTCATTGACCAAGGTTTTTGTGATGTCAATATATGCCTGCAGACGAAGATCTCCTATTGCCTCTGCTGATATTTGCCCTGATATAGCTTGATTGAGTTGTTCCTTAAAGTGGGTGATTGGAAGATCTGCTTCGCGGTCATTTCGTACACAGTGATTCTCATACACCTCAAGGAAAGTGTTGTACATTAGATCATCCTCAACCATCCGGACCTGAAACCAAATATGTTTGTTAAAACCAATACTCCTCCAATGAAACATCAAATCTGAATTCATGGTATAAAAATCACCTGAGACCAGACAGGAATGATGATTGGAGTGTGAATTCCAATGTGTCGTCTTCTTGATTCCTTATGCTTATCAAACATTTGGTTCATCACACGGAAAAGCTGCAAGATCCGTTCATCACTTCTAGCATTAGGCGTCAATGATGTCTGGACTATAAAGTGCTTTTGCGAGCCATCTGAGCCAATAAGAGTCAACCGCCTGAAGCTGCTTCCATGCCTTCGAACAATCGGAACGTCAGCTCCAACCCTATCCAACTTTACTGTATGATCAGGTGCTACTTCCTGGATAATTGAGCATAATTATTTTCACAATCAAATAGGGGAAAAAATGTTCCATTAGAAGACTAAATTAAGTGCAAGGGAATAGTAGTTCAAATTTCCAGACTTAATAGTTAATTCTACCTGGTCAGCAAAGTACTGCCCTGGTATCTCCACATCAACAACATTGAAGTCACGCAAAACCCTACTCTCATCTTCCAATCTTAACACAGCCGGAAACCTGTCTTCAACATTGCTCTGAAGAATATTTTTCCACTTTTTCAGTCGCGTCGTCAGCTCAGCGAGTGTGGTAGGGAATGTAGTTGTGCTTTCTGGATCAAGGTGACGCTCAAAATCCTGTTTGTACTCTTTCACAAATTCGACATGCTTGGTTACAGCATCTGCCGAGAAACAAGCTCTGCAGACACCCGACAGTTCTTTTTTTAGTGGTTGGGGAACCTCGGCAGTTGTAGCAGTTGGATACTTGTAACAACGATGCAACAGAGCATTCACAACTGCCAGCAGTCTTTCTTCCGGTAATGTAACAAATCTCGAACCTATTTCCGTGAGAAGAACCTGAAAAGTTAGATTACTTACTTAGATCATCCAACGAAAGAGGTAAGAACCTGCTCAGAGTCTAATTGATGCTATATCCTTCTTCCCAATAGTGCGTTGTATATTCACTATTCAGGATTTATCTTTACTATGACAATTGTATGTAGTTAGAGCAAATTTTAGGAATATGGTTGATATATACAGAAAAAAGTATCACCTCGAGTTCACTGGCTAAGTTGTTATGTTTACCCCTAAGAGCCTCCATGATATCCTTGGCAGCGTCGAAAGCACCTGCAGCAGAGATTGCCAAGGATGCACCATTCCGTCTCACTGTGTTTTCATTGTTATCATTGATAGCGGAGCTGCTTTGGTGCATAGGTTGATCACTACCGGGATGGACATTATTTTCCGCAGTGGAGCGTTCACTTTCTTGCCCATGTGGGTTACCACTGTCATGTGTTCCACCAGCCCCGCTAATTTGAGCGCCTCGATGGATTTGAGTTTCCGATGGTAAATTGCTTCCACCATGACCTGCACTTGCACCAGTGGCATTTTGTTGCATTCTTTGAGCCAAAACCAATCTGCCAATTTCGGATTTGTTTACTGCATCACGTCGTTCCAGCAAGTATGTGCGCAACCAGTAATAGAGAGCCTGAAAATCGCCACATACTCAGATAAAATAATCATAATGCATGAATTAGTCATAAACGCTAAAGGTAAATTACCTGTGGGAAAACTGCAGCAATTTTCAATAAAACCAATTTGCAATGTGGTGCTTCTGTTCTTTGTAGGGAAAGTAACAGTTGTGGGATCCAAGAAAGCCACACCCAGTGAGGAACTTGGTCTAAGTGTTTATCAAACACCCTACCAACAGGCTCATTCGCTGTATCGAAGCTAAGAAGATAAAGAACACGAGCTATATGACTTCTGGAATTGGAAACACCAAATCTTATTCCCTGAAGAAAGCAACTGACAGCATATTCAAGCCAAATTTCGTCTTGTGTTTCTTGGTATGCCTACAAAAGCGAGTTAAATATAAGTACAAGGAATACGAAATTTAGGGGAATGTTAAGAGCTATATAAGAAACAGAACACAGTCACAAGAAATACCATATCACAATAGCTTCCCCAGCTTATCCATCCTTTGGGTAAATTCTTAAACAGGGTGATCGCATTGGAATATGCGATATTAGCACTTTCGGTGTCATTTAGTTTCAAATGAAAATCCCCCTTCAGACGAAATATCTCTGCTTTGATCTTATCTGGAAAATACTCCAAATTTGTGCTATTTATCAGATTAAGACCACTAGCACGCTCTCCCTTCATTTCCAGATAAGCTTTTGCTTGCTCTCTAATTTTAACAAAAGCTTCCTGCATTTACACACCCAAAAACAGAAGATGAGGAAGATACTTTCATATATAACAGTATTACAAGCTTTGAAAACAAAAGAAACCAACTATTTAAAAAAGTTGATGAGATATGAATCAAAAAAGAAAAGAAAAAATATGCAGATCTTGTGTAGATTACTGCAATTAAAGATTTTGCAGAAATGTACCTGTACTTCCATTGTCGAGTGTCCATACATTTTTTCAAGAATCTGAACACAAACATCATAAAGTCCCTGTTTCCGAGCTATCTTGGCAAGCTTATTGACGTTCCATGCTTTGTCACGGAAACCAAGGTGATGAAGTGGAGAATTTGAAGTAGCGAAGTCTTTAAATGCATCAATAACAACATTATACATTTCATTCCTCCACTGTAGCATATCATACCAGACTGTCATATTGTCCCATTCATTTGGAGTCCTCAGCCTCCAAGTCTCAAGAATATCCTTCAGATCTGCATAACGATTTCCAAGTCCACCAGCTGCAGCATTTCCTGAAACTTTGTTCCCATTTGCGATGTCAACATGAATTCTAGCAGACTCCTGCACCTCAACTAGTTGTTGGAATTGCTGCAGTAGAGGCACTCTAGCATGAACAGACATTTCAGGCAACTGCCACCACTGTTCCAAGGCAAGATCAACGCCTTTCCCCACTGTGTTTTCAGCATCTCCAACACCATTTGAATTTCTGTCATGAAGGGCAAAATAAGATTGAACCAAACGAAGCTTTGGAGTCTCCTCCACTTGTGCCTTTGGTATCACGTGGTCCTTCAAATATGCCCAATCGGGTAATTTCCAAAGACTATCAAGCAGTATTTCATAATTTTCAATGCTTTTTCCAAAATCTACCAGGGCATCCCATTGACTAAGCTGACTGGCACAGTGAAGCCACTGCTCCTCCCACAGACACATTTCAGCTTTAGGGACTGTGTTGTTATACGTGCCTTGGGTTGCCTTAACCATTGCCTGGTAAAAGAGGCTCTGAGCACGCTGCCAAAAACCATGCTGAACTAATGAAAGTCCAGCTCTCGTTTCAGCGGTAATGGACCTCTTCTTCCACAACCCAAATCTCATATCTTCTTCATTTAACAAACGATAAAGCTCAGCAAGAGACTCAGCACATTTTGAGTCATTCATGAACAACATCACATGGCTCTCTAGCAAAGCCAATGCAAGATGCCATGCATTGTACGTTTTCC